TATTGTCCTGTAGAAAAAAAGTTAGTTCATTGATGTGGTTTCGAACACCATTTGCATTCCATAGGAGAATGGAAAGCGGTTTTATTGAGGGCATTTAAGGAATTCTTGGCAGTGGAATAAGGTTAGATATGACATTTGTGAGTAAGGAGATAAGTGGTGTGATAAGAGATCTGAATTCGGAGAGGAATGATGAAAAGAGACCCGTAAGATCATTGGAATTGTTAGGGGGAGGGATGTACATTTGGTGGTGACTGGACTTTTGGGTGTTATTAAGTTGCGGTGGCGGATTATGAGGTTGTGGTTGAGTTTGTGGCAGGGCCTGAGGTTGAGTGGACTGTTCTATTTCTCCCAGTATTTGAGAGGAAATATTAAGGAAGTTATAAGGAGTTTACGGTTTTTAAATGGAAATAGGTGGCGGAGGTAATTTAGTCGTTTTAAAATGGAAAAGGCACAGCAGGAAATATCGGATACATGGTTTTTGAGGAGAAGAGAAGGACAAAAAAAAAAATTGATTTAATAAAAAAATAAGGTAAAACTCTAACAATCTCAATAAAATGAGGTCTTCATGTTGATATATTCATCTTTAGAATGTTGGAATCTGGTCAAATTTACGTTCATGTTGATTCCTTGGCTACTGCTTGACACATTTACTATCAATATAAATAATATTCCAAAAGAAACTCAATGAATCATAATAAAATAAGATCGTAAGGCCGATATATTGGTCTAATGGGAGGAAAAAATATTGTAAGATGAGGAGAACAAAAAAAAAAATTAATAAAAAAATGGTCAAAGTCTACTGACCTCTATAAAATAAGATCGCAAGGCCAATATATCGGTCTTTGCTCAAATTTATGTTTATGTCCATTGATTGACACATTTATTCGCAATAAAAATAATATTCCAAATTTAACTAAATGAATCATAATAAAATAAGATCGTAAGGCCGATATATTGGTCTCATGGGAGGAAAAATTATTTGTAAGATGAGGAGAAAAAATAAAAATAAATTAATAAAAAAATGGTCAAAGTCTACCGATCTCTATAAAGTAAGATCACAAGGCTGGTATATCGGTCTTTGCTCAAATTTATGTTTTCCATAGATTGACAACTGATTGATACATTTATTTGCAATAAAAATTATATTCCAAATTAAACTTTATGAATCTCGATAAATTAAAATTGTAAGGAGGATATATCAGTTCAATGGAATACAAAAAAAAAATTGTAAGGAGCAAAAAAAAATGTGGTTAAACTCTAATAATTTTGATAAAATGAGGTTGTGAGGCCGGTCTATGTTCGGACATATCTAGCATTTGCTAAAGTTTATATTCATCTCGAACCCTTGATGATTGATTGACACATTTATTTGCAATAAAATTAACATTCCAAATTAAACTTTATGAATCTCGATAAAATAAGGTCATATGGACGATATATCGATCTTTAGACTATTGAGCTTATTTTAAACTCAAATTTTGGAGAGAGGAGTATAAAAAAACAGGTGTATACGTATATATACCTAGTTCTGCCATAAATACTGTTACAAAAGTTGCACTTTGTTTACATCCTTGGGTATTATTTACATAATCCTTACCTCTATCATGTTATTTTCTTTACATGTCAGGATAATAAATCAAATTAGTGTGTATTTTTCTTTCGCTTGGTTAACATGGAGTGGGGTGATAAAGAAAACCGAATAGCTGTGATTGCCTTACACAAAGTTGGAAAATTTAGGTCAGAGATTTTCAACACTTTGAAATCTTTGGGTATCAGCCGTATGTTCGTGTACCGCACTATAAATAGATGTAATGAGACCCTATCTGTATGTGACAGACCTTGACTGGACTGTCCCCATGCTGCGAGACCGCAAATGCAATGAGAGCAGTGGCTGCTGGAATCAGAATAAATCCCATTTGAAAACAACAAGTCATGTCTCAGAAAATGGGAACCTCTGTCCGATCAATGTCTCGCATAATAAAAAGTGACCTTAGGATGGGTGCATTTCGAAGAATGACAGGACAAAAGCTAACCACTTCCCTGAAAAAAAATAGAGTGGATAGATGCAAAGTTCTCCTTGGCCGGCACACCAATGGTCTCATCAAAAGATTTTGTTTAGTGATGAGAACATGATTGTGTGTTTGCACACAGCTCTAAAGAAGCCCAGGAAGTCATTAGAAGAGTGGAAAGAGGTCATCACTCTTCCTCAGTGATTATTTGTTGGGTAGTTTGCTTTGATGGCACCAAAAAGCTCCATTTTTGTGAAACTATCAGGATGATATTTTGGAACCTGTTGTGAAGCCTCTAAATGATACTATGTTTGCTGGAAGTCATTGAGTTTTCCAGCAGGATTCCGCTCGAGCTCACAAGGCCAGGTCAACTCAAAAGTGGCTCTAAAAGAATATTCCAGAGTTGATCTCTGCCTCGGGTTGGCATGAAAGACAGTTTACATGAAAAGTTCAAAAATGGAAAAGGAAGTGAATACGGAAATAGCTTTAAGGGATCATAACTTTAGGTCTGTTGTGATCTAAGTTCAAGTACCTTGGAAGCCTGGTCATATGCAATAATAAATAGAGAGTGAAATAATAAAGGCCAGGATAGCAGCAGGAAATAGATGCTATTTCTCACTGCAAAGAGACTTGAAATTCAGATCAGTTTTAAAAAATAATCAAAATCCTCATCTATGAAACCATAGTAAGGCCAGTGGTTATGTATGGGTGTGAGACTCGGACCTTAACCAAAAACTCAGAACCCACGCTCAACTCCTGGGAGAGAAAATTATTGAGAAGAATATGTGGCATCTTTGAGAGTGGAATTCAGAGAAGAAGAAAGAATGAGGAGCTGCAGGAACTTTATGGTGAACCTGATATTGCCAAAATCAGATAGCTAGGTCGTATGGACAGAATGCCAAAGAGGACGCTGCATGAGAAGTCGAATGACAAAAGAAATGGAGGGCGCCCTCTGATCAGATGGCTGGAGGATATGGAGGACGATCTGAGGTTGTTGGGCATTCGGAGATGGAGGGAAGTAGCACAAGACTGTGGATATTGGTTGACTGTAGTGGAGGAGGCCCTAGTTCTTGCAGAACCATAGCACCATTATAAGAATGATAATAATAATATAAGTTATGTTCGGGTTTAAGTTGAGTTAAATAAGTTAAATTTTCCTTTCAGAAGATTTAGGTTTCCCTTCAGAAGTTTTCTTTTTCTAAAGAAACTTTTTGACCACCACACCAGATTTTTAAAATATACTAAACTTTTCTCTAAATATCATTTTGCAGTGACATGTATAGCTCATAAAAACTAGATGTGTGCTTGTTAGAATAGCTGGTTAGTCAAATTTCTGTCCAAAGCAAATAATCATAAATAATGTTCCCAGAGTCATTAAATTGTCTGCTTCTTTTTGCCATTTGTTGTATTTAAGTAGTTTTTTATTATTGATTAACATAACATCAAATTATTTGAGAGTTAATAAGATAAATTTGTTAGTAATTATAATATTAATATTGCTTTATTGAATTATAATACAAAATTTTGTCAATGAAAAAAAAGAAACATTTTTATGGCATGGGAATCCGTTGGTGGGAAATTTTATACAGTACCTTACAAGTGCAGTAGGTAATTAACTAATCACTGTTACTATTTTACATTAATATATTAAACATGTGGTATATAAAGACATAATAATAATTACCTGATAATTTAATTAATAATTCAGCCAGAAATGAGTAAAAAATGAATTTAAAAAATACAATTGTGATAAGAAATATAAATAATGAATAATCAAAATAAAGGATAATCATTGATTTATTTTATTTTTTTTAAACAAGTTTAAAAAAGGTGGAGCAAATTTACAAAAACAAACAAAAATGCCTAATACGAGGGTAAAAATAAAAATAAATTTCATGAATCTTTCTTATAATTGATGGAAGAAATGATTGCAATGAGCCCATGCGGGACAAAAAAAAAATCACAAGCTTTTGACATTCATTCACAGAGGGGGCATTAAGGAGAGAAATCAAAAACAAATTTTTAACAGGACTTGCACCTATTAGTTTGATACGAAGAGCTGAACATTTTGCTAAGAAGTGGAAATGGTCTTCTTTTACTGACAGGTTACATATTGGACAGTTAGTATTTTCCCTTTCAAGCCATGGAGTGTAATTCAAATAAAGAAGCTCGCATCGAAGCTCAAACAACCATCTTAAGTCACACCCAGTTAAATCCTAAGAGCAACCATTCACAAATCTAATGATTTTAATCACATATTATCAACATAAAAGAAACCCACTAGAATTCATTGTTGCCACTTTACATAGTTGCTTATGATGCTAAGTTATTGTGAAACCTAATGCTGCCAGCTGGTCTTTCCATACATAAATTTCATCTGATGACCTATTGAACCTACAGGAATATTTTTCTGCCAAATTTCACCAATGTTTAAACCAAAAAGTTTTGCATTTGATAACTTCAATCGCTGTAATTCTAGAGAGTCATCTCGCAGAATTTGTTAATATGAATAATATGAAAGTAAAGTATTATGTTTTTCATTATGAAGGTTTGACCTTTGTTCTTTTTACATTGATAGATTTGCCAAATGGTCAGAATAAGAGTCATTTGATTAATTTATTCTGACCAGTAGGGAAATGTATCAATGTATAAAGTATTATGTATGAACCTAATTATCATAATATGTACACATTAAATGTATTGAATCATTGATTAAATAATATAATTATTAAAAATCTCACAAAAAATATAAATAATCTAAAGAAGGTTATTTATCATCATATATATCGTTGTTAAATATCCTTTAAATACATTAAATATCTTAATCATTAATTTGTCATTTGTTTTTTACCTATTATTCAGTGATTCTCATTAAAGTAAAATGATTTTTCATATTGAGATTGCAATAGTTTAATTTGTGAGAGGATAACTCTTTTATTATTATATTATTACCATATATTCTAATTTGACAAATAACATTTAATTTTTTAGTTGCTACAAGATTTGTATTTGGAGAATGAAAATGAAGATATTGCTTGGTTGTGTAAATTTCTCGAGACATGTTCTCCTGCCTTGGAATATGATGGCAGGCAGCTGTATGCTCAGATTGCTAGGTACATTTAACTGTTACAATCATTAAATAAACTAGCTCATGGATTTTTTCACATGTAAAATGATGGCAGATTTTGATTCAACAGACAAAAAAAGCTGTATGTTGAAATTATTAACTATACAAAAAAAATTTTTGTTTCTAATTTGAGGAGGCTCAAAATTCTTAAAGATATGTTTTGTTTTGAAATTTTGTATCTTTTCATCAGTTTATCCAATTTTAACAGTTGATGAGTTCTTTCTAGCTGAAAAAAGTGTTAGTTGATAATATAGTTGTTTTTTTTTAACTGCTAAAAACAGTATTGATATCAGTTTTGATACAATTTTTAAGATAACATTGATTTTTATGTTTACTATCAAGGTAATTAATAGCTGTGGATCAGTTTTAAAATAAGTTAAAAAGCTTTTTGAGAAGGAATTAGTCGAGGGTGCGGTCAAAAAAAATAAAAAAATTAAAATATATAAATAATTTTAATTTTTGCCGACGTTTCGACCCAAAAAAGCTTTTTGTTTAATTTAATTTTTTATTATATTAGCCAAAGTTTCAGTCATTCTATGTAGGCAATTTTCAGAGCTAAAACAAAAAGATTAGAAGTAATAAGAAAATAACTATGTAATGAATGAATGAAAATAATTTTCTTATTATGGGACTAGTTTCCCTTTAGAACAAATTACAAATACAGAATATATATTAATATTTCTGGTGTGTCCATAAAATACAATTGAATATATACAGGGTGATTAGTAATAAAATAAAAGTACGATAATAAAAAGATATAAAAATGTACATAAATATAAAATAAACAGAGAAAGTAAAATAAATAAACAAAATATCAATAAATCACAAAATAATCAAAGTATATGGGGGTACTTTGAGATTGTTACGACATAGATTTTTAAGTGCATTTCATGATCAACCGGATTGGGAATGGAGTAGATGTTTGAAGAGGAGAGATTTGAAAGAGGATACTGACTTTGCGTGTCGAATATCAGAGGGGATAGAATTCCAGAGGGAGACAGCTTGAATTAAAAAGGATTTGTCAAATGTAGCAGTTAAGTGAGGAGGAGGATAGAGGTCAGATGTATGGGATCTGGTGGGATGGGATTAAAAGGAGCATTTGAATTGTAGGATCTCTAGAATATAGGAGGGTCGCCGAGTTCTAATAGCCTGGTATAGGAAGGAAGCCAGGAAATACTGACAGTGGTAGGACAGATAAGGCCACTTCAACTTGGTGTAATACTGGGTAATATACATATCCCTTGAGATCCCGAAGATAAAGCATATTGAGCAATTCATTAGACGTTTAAGTTTGGCTTCGAGTTCTCCCAAGAGTTCTCCTATATGCCAATGACGTCCAAATTTACCTTTCTTTGAACCCGGCCGATTTCTCTAATGCTATCCTGAAACTGCAACAAGACATCAATAGAATATGCGCATGAGCAAATCTTAATAAGCTCACACTAAATACGGAGAAGACAAAAGCTATCCTGATCAGATCCCCTCACTTCTCAAATCCATTTCAGTACCTCTCAATCTTCTCCTGAACAACTCATCTATCTCCTTCCATACCCCCCATTAAAAACCTTGGCATTATCATTGATCAAACCCTTTCCTGGAAACCACACATCTCCCAAATGATCTGCCAACTATTTCCACCATGAAACAGTTTAACCATCTCAATTATCTTCTAACATTCAAAACCCCTCAACTCATGGTTTCATCTCTTGTGTTTCCTTACTTCAACTATGGCTGTAAGTTGTATGGTGGACTCTCGGGAGAACTCAAAGCTAAACTTAAACGTCTAATGTGAGAAGGAGTTAGTCGAGGGTGCGGTCAAATAAATAAAAAAATTAAAATAATTTATATATTTTAATTTTTTTATTTATTTGACCGCACTGTCGACTAACTCCTTCTCATATTATATCAACGGTCAACCATCTCTACATCATTATAAACGTCTAATGAATTGCTCAGTACGCTTTATCTTTGGGATCTCATGGGATACGCATAATACCTAGTTTTACACTGAGTTTAAATGGCTTTATCTGTTCTACCGCTGTCAGTATTTCCTTGCTACCTTCCTATACCAGTCTATTAGAACTCGGCTACCCTCCTATATTCTACAGATCCTACAGTTCAAATGCTCCTTTCAATCGCATCCCACCAGTTCCTGTACATCCTACCTCTATCCTCCTCCTTACCGAGCTGCTGCGTTTGACAAATCCTTTTTAATTCAAGCTGTCTCCCTCTGGAATTCTATCCCCTTTGATATTCGACACACAAAATTAGTATCCTCTTCCAGAGGCTTTTGTCTAAGACTCCTCCAAAAGTCTCCGCCAGTCGGCTCTGTCTGTTGCTGCAGCTCTTGCACCGAGGTGATTGTGTGCGTCCACTGTAACGGAGTCAACCCACCTCACATTTTCCGGTTAATCTCCTGGGATAGTTCATTTTGGGTCTTTATTTCTGAGCCCAGGTATAGGAAACTTAGCACCCTTTCAAATCTGTATGGTCCAACTTCGAAGAAATCTGTCCCTACCTCGGATGATCCTATTCTTAAATACTTTGTCTTGGCTTTATTGATGACCAAGCCAAGAATTTTCGCTTCTTGTTCCAGAGCCAGAAACGCTTCTATTAGGGCATGCTACGATCTAGCATCTATGTCAAAGTTATCTGCGTACCCTATTAACTGGACCGTACTGTTGAATAAGGTGGCCTGTGTTTGGATTCCCAATCTATGCATTGCTCACTCCACCACCAAATTAAAGAGAAGGCAAGCAAGGGAGTCTCCCTGTCTCATGCCGCAGTTCGTAGCAATAGATTCAGAGGAGTCAGACGCGATATGAACTGCGCTGTTGGACCCCAACATGGTCATCCTCACCAGACCACAGGTGGATCTATGGGGGAGGGGCTAAAGCCACTCCCTCCTCCCCCCCCAAAAAATGATAAAATGTAACCATGTTTTATGGAAAAAAATATTATCTCTTAAAGTATTATTATTCGTGCAATTACATTTAGTATGACTTTAAGAATCACTTAAACACCATTTCATACAGGTAGTTAGTATCTTTCTTTTTTTTTTCCAAAGTAATTATCGTTATATGAAAAAAAAACAAAAAAAATCAGGCTGAAGCCCCTCTCCGAAATGAAATCCTGGATCTGCTAGTGCACCAGACGAATCAGCTTCCTGAGTATGCCCATTTCTTCTAGCGCCTGGTAGAGCTTGGGTCAGGTTACACTATTGTACGCAGACTTGAAATTCTGAAAGAGGTGGTGCATAACCATCCTGTATTCCTTGGCTTTTTCCAGAATCATTCTCAGGGAGAAGATCTGGTCCGTGGTTGATCTGCCCCTTCTAAATCCAGCCTGGTAATTGCCTATCTCCCTTTCTGCATGGGGGGTGAGTCTCTCGAAAAGGAAGTTTGAAAATACCTTGTAGGCACTCGAAAGGAGGACTATACCTCTGTAGTTGTCGCACTCCGTTTGGTTGCCCTACTTGTGAAGCCGACAAATAAATTCTTGTATTTAAACTTGTGGCATCATTTCTTCTTCCCATGGTATTGTAAGGATGAGATTGTGGAGTTCCTTCATAAGTCCCAGGGCTTTGTTATTCTTCAGCTTCATAACGGTCGCCTTGACTTCATCCTCATCTGGTGGTTCTCATCGTTTGAAAGGTCTTCCGTTCTTGAGATGATGTTGGCATCATGGGACAGTTCAAGGCCTCCTGGCTTACTATTCTGTGTCGTCTTGATGAAGGACTATTCCAAAATACTGCCTCCATCTCTCCAGGATTTTTCCCATTTTTCCGTCGGGAGATTTCCACCTGTATCCTTGCAGGAGGTAACCCTCGGTTCAAAAACCAACCTGCCTTCATTCACTTTCAGTAGGAAGAATAACCTACTTTCATGGAGAGTTTCTGTGGGTCTCAACGTCCTCCATTATTTTGTTCTCCCATGTTCTTTTCTTTATGCGGTGGATCTTCTTTTCTTCCCTCCTCCTGTTTCTATACTTGGCTTGTAATAGCTGGATTTAACGTTGAACCACGTGACGATGCTCAAGAAATGATCCGAGTCAACGTTTGCGCCCCTGTTGATTCTTACTCCAATAAGGTTAGAACTGTGGCGTGAGCTAACCAAATTGTGGTCTATTTGGTTCGTGACTGTCCCATTTGGTGATCTCCAGGTGGATTTGTGGATGTTCTTGCCAGGAAACAATGTGCTGCCAATGACTAGACCCTGTACTAAAAAAAAAAACAGATAAATACAAATTATGATCTAATTCGATAAATATTTAATGGAGAAATAAGGGTTAGTATTCCTCTATAGATGGATGGGATAGAATCTGTTAAAAAAAATATTAAATTTTTTCTTATTAAACATTCTTAAAAAATATTAAAATAAACCAGTGTTTTATGTTTTGTGAAAAATGAAATTATTACTTTATGCAATGTGGTATTTTTCCCTATTTCAATTTTTTGAGCTGCTTACAAACTTAAATGGTTTAATTCAATGTAGGTTCCCATTGAACCACTACTTGCTGTCACAATTGCTAGATTTATTGATTATTGAAAATTAAACTTTAATATATTTATATTTACTGTCTATTTCATCCATTTTATTATAATCACAAGTTAGCAAATTTATTTATTTTATTATCTGACCTGTTTCAGATACAGATTTCCACTAGCAACACCTTTAGGTCAGATGCTTCAAGGTCCACCAAGAGTAGTCAGCTTAATTGAATCAGGTATAGATAGATAGAAAATAACTTTATTCATGGACACAGTCCCTTGAGAATAACAAAATTAAAAGGTTACATCTGGCCAAAATAAAATCAATCGAAAAAAAGAAATAATGTAAAGGAAATATAAGATAAACATTCTATATACAAAACAAACAAAACTATATACAAAACAATTAACACTATGACAAGACACTTAAAGCTATTTGCACTGATAGATCAGTATACACTTTTAAGAAAACAATAAAGAATTAAAAAATAAAAATATATTAAATTCTTTATTAAAATAAGTTTTGTGTTTCTGTTGAAAAAACAGAAAGCTGAATCTGACAATATAAAGTGCCTGATTAATATATAAATAAATTATCATTTAGCATTGATATTTGACTATGGATAGCATGAAATAAATGTAGGTTGTCGAATGGTTAGCAACTATCTGACTGTTTTTGGAATAGGAATTGGAATAGGAGGGTTTTGAATGTGGATATAGATAGGGAATGTAGAATTTTGATAGGGAGGGAATTACAGAAATTGACAGAGCGAGCAATAAAGGAGTTTTGGAATGAGGCAGATCTATGAGAAGGCATGTAAAGGTTAGAAGGTCGAGATCTTGTGGACAGGGAACGGACTGAGGATTTGAATTGAAGAAGGTTGTAGGCGTAAGAAGGACGATGGTTGTTGATGATTTGGTAGACGAATGTACCTAGGAAATATTGTCTTAGGAAGGAGGGGAAAAGCCACTTTAACTTAGCGTAGTGGTGAGAGACATCGGAGTATCAGCTGTTCATTAGTCTTTTCAGTCTATCACGGAGCTCCACAGAGAGGCCATCATACACCACACAGCTATAGTCAAAGTGGGGGAAAATGAGAGAGGAAACTAGAAGTCTATGCGTATGTTGAGGTAGGAGATGGCGGAAGCGATGAAATAGTTTGATACCCTCAAATTGTCCGTCGAGAGATATGAGAAATTTGGTGATTCCAGAAGAGGTTTTGATCAATGAAAAATCCTAAATTTTTAACAGAGGAGTAGAAGGAGATTGGCTGGTCATTAAGGTGAAGGATGGGAAAGTCGGTATGGGATCTAAGAAGAGGCTTGGAAGCAATGACAATGGCCTGAATTTTGGCAGCATTTAACCTTAATCCATTTACATTCCCCCAGGCACTAATTCGATCTAGGTGTTCTTGGATCTTGGGCAAAAGCTCCCAATAACTCAGAAGGGGAAAATGATAGCTACATCTGAGAATCATCTGCATAAAGGTGGTGGGAACAATGGAGAATTGATTTCTGTAGGTCGTTAATGTAGGAGCTGAAAAGGAGAGGAGATATGCTTGAACCCTGGACAACTCCAGAGGATAAAGAAAGGAAGGCAGATAGTGGTTGATTGGGTATAGAGACTGCTTGGGTACGTTGTGAAAGGAAAGATTGAAACCAAGAAATGGAACTATTGGAGAAGGATAATAATTTCAGTTTGTTGAAAAGGATGGAATGGTTAATGGAATCGAAGGCTTTGGAGAAGTCGAGAAGGATAAGGATAGTTAACTTTTTATCATCTATTGCAGTTTGAATGTCGCTGGTGATTTTAATTAAGGGGAATTGTGTGGAGTAGCTGGGATGGAAACCAGATTGGAGAGGATCAAGTTGCTTGGACTTTTCAAGGAAGTTGGAGACTTGGGATTGCACCAATCTTTCTATGAGAGGTTGGAAGGAATTGACATTGGGCGGAAATCTTTGGGTGAGGTCGGATTAGAATTTTTATTCAAAGGAAGGACAGTGGCTTTTTTCCAAGATGTAGGGAATATTGATTTCTGAAGGGAGAAATTTTAGATGAAAAGGAGAGCTGGGAGGATTTCAGGGAGACATAATTTTATTAATTTGACAGGGATACCATCTGGTCCTATGGAATTGGTGTGGGATTTCATTACAGCAGTTGAAAGGTCTATGGGGGAAATGTCGGAAAAATAAAAGTTATTGTCGTTGAATGGTATATCTAGAGGAAAACTGGAACAAGAGGATAAAGGAGAGGTATTAGCAACAGATATAAAATGCGAGTTTAGATCATCAGGGGATATTGGAAAGGTTGGGGTAGGGGATCTGGAAGGATCACAAAGGGAGAGTTTACAAAGCAGTCGCCATTTTGATTTGATGTCAGGAGTTGAGGAAAGGGCTTCATGGAAGTAGAGGGATTTCGCACGCCGGATCCTTGTTTGTGTCAAGTTGCAAAGCACCCTGAATGCTTGGTAGTCATCTGCAAGCCTAGAACATCTAAAGCGTCTACGAGCATACAAGCAGCTTCTCTTCTGCAGCTCTTTAATTTCCTGACACATGCAAGGAGCAGGCTGGTGATGAAATGTAGATGTTTTGAGAGAGCCATGGGTATTGAGGAGATTGGTAGTAAGAATATCAACCATAGAGTCGATAGAAGAGCAAGAATATATTCGACTCCAATCTAGGATTTCCAGGTCAGGTAATATTTGTTCTCGTGTAAGGGAATCTAGATGGGGAAGGTGATAGGTCGAGGCTGAATAGGAGGAGTTCGGATATTATATGTTATTTGTATCAGATCGTGAGATGACAAAAAGGATGCTGGCAGTTGGGAAGAGGAGAGGAGGTTTTGTGCAGAGTCTATAATGTAAAAAACTAGCCAAGTGTCGGACCTGCTAGTATGGTGTATCAGGTATATTTGATTTTCCCCGTTGCTTTCTTCTGTCGGGCAAGCCAGTATAAGTGCCTGTTCGTGTAAGTCATCTCCTCCCCCAGATATATCCGGTGGCAGTCATTCTCCTGCCAACCGATATCCCGCATGGAGAATTATTAAATCGTCTCTGACTGATCGCTTAACAAATCGCATGATGACAGGAGGCAGTCGCGGGTCATCTTTCCTGCTTCTGCGGCGATGCACTATGTCCAGGTCTTCTGCACTAAGCCTGACTCCAGGCTGGCTCCTATACTGGTCACCAAAGTGGCGAGCGTTTCACCAGCTCGTTCCGGTATCCCTCAGATCTCCAGTGATCTGGATAACAGGCACTACTCTGCATTATTCAGGCGAACTTCCAGTTTGCCCACTCGGGATCTGAGGGCTTTATTTTCCATAATAATTTCTGGTATTGTATAAATATGCATATGTAGTGTGTATGCACACGTTCATATAGATATATAAATAATTAATATTAAAGGGTAGTTGCCCTTCAGTGTGGCAGACTGTATTAATACTCAATAAAAGTTTAAAAAAAAAAAAAAAAAAGGGTAGTTAACACCTTGCTTAAAGCGAATCTATTTAATAAAATGGTTTAAGTGCCGAAATCTAGAGATAAGGATATGATTAACAAGTTTTCTCTTATGAGGTCTCGTATTGTCGTCAAGAAAATGGAAATATGCACCAATTATGGCCCTGGTTTGAGAAATTTGTGTGAGCGTTAGTGTACTGTTCCCCCAACCTGGAGGCCACTGGCCTCTACATGTCACTGTGTAAGCAGGTGTTGATGTGGTTGCTCTCTTTATTCTCTTTTATTCATTTCCTTAGGTGAAGCACTAAATGACTTGTCTTGTCACCAATCTGCTATCTAGTTACTTGTAGAGTGTCCATGACCTCAGCATTCTGTTAATGATAAATGAGAAGAGAATGACTTTCAATAATTTCAGGTTATTTTGACAACATCCATTTGGAGGTGCCTTGTGCACTACTACTGCCATTATTAAAGGGTTAATAAGTCATTTTATCCTTTTGAATACTCTATTAAAAAAATGTTAGACCTTTAGTACTGGGGTTATGATATATGATTATCCTGTTAAACTGGAAGGAGACAATAATTGGGCCTATATTTAAGATGGATTACACAATGAAAAAATTATAGTGTCATTTGTCTTCTAATAATAATAATTTTATTTCATTTAAAAAAACAATAAAGTAAACATTGGGTTGGCAAATAATTCTTTTTAAATAAAATTAAGTAATAGCATAAATATCCAAGTTAAAAGTTAATAGTAATTATTTCTCTTCATTAATATATGCTAATGGCTATCCTTAACCTAATTCCTTTTCTTTTCATAGCTTTTCTATAGCATAATTAACTTATGGTATATAAAAATTGACATTAAACATAATTTAATTACTTTATTAAAGTATACCTATAGCTTTCATGCTAGTTTTCAATATTTGATTAATGATTGATTTTTGATGATTTTTTTCATTTAGATATTATATCAACTCTACATGAGTATCAAGTAATATTGTTTTTATTCTACATGAGAACTTACCTCCATTAAGCACAATTTTCAGTCCTCTCCTAAAATTGAACAGATGACTGAAAAATGTTTTCTACTTATTTTAAGTTACATAATGAGCACAATGGAGCATTATACTATGTTGTATATTTTGAAATTAAAATTGAGCATTTTGCATCTTGCTTTGAAGATCCATTAGATATCTTACATATTTTTATTTACATCAAAATAATCTTTGAAATTACATTCCCACACAGATGTTTATAAAGTAAGAATCTGTTTGTTTTGCTTGCTTTTTTAATTAATACTTTATGTATATTTTTACTAATGAAATTTCTTATTTTATTAGTATTATTATCTCAGCTCTAGAAACCATTAATTCCGTGCTCCTGTCATCCAGTTGTGCGAGCATCAAATGCAACTCTCTATTCATATCGGTCTTACTCTCTTCGTTCCATAGAAAGGTTTATCAGGAGCCTGCTGGGCAAATTTTATTCATCCAGCACTGAGTAGATTGTGGTTATATACAAATGAAATTTTGTTTGAAAGAAGAGAATATGGCAACCAAACTGTTTTCTTAAGGTATAGTAACACTAGTTAGCAGAAATGATTTTCCTTCTAATCTCAGCTTCCACACGATTTTCTTTGGCCTCTATCAGTTACACATTCTGACTGAAAATTGTCTGCCCAACTCTCTCATGACTCTCTTCTGGGAAATATTGAATAAGAGGCAAACAAGGGCATCACCCTGCTGTAGCCCCTTCATCACTTGGAATTTTCTGGACAGATCTACACTAATACACAATAACTCATCATACTTATAAGCTTTTGAGAGATCTGGAGTTCCTCCAATGCTTGGATAGAATTATCAGTAAGAAGATTACCTTCTTTATCCAGGCAAGAAGTCTGGACATTGGTTACAGGAGTCCTGAGTTTATTTATCCTGCAGAAGGACCCCCAATTCTTTGCTTCTGTACAGGACTTATCTTTTCAACAGCTTTCCACGTTCTATCTCTTCTTCCTGTCATGGAGTCTCTTCTTCTCTCATAGAATATCATGGCACATTTTTTGTATCCATTGCTTGGGAGCAGGCCTCCCACTCATCTTCCACTGATTTTCCTCCATGGTGTATTGATTGTAATGCCTTGTCAAACTCGACTGTATACTGGTTCACTACAACTGAGTCTTGGAGCTTCTGTAAGTTGAATTTTTTATCCTTATGACTCATGATAACCAATATAAACATAAATATCTTGGTTGTGAAGTGTAATATTGAAAACCATTAGTTATATCAACATTAGCTCCTCAAAATAAATAATATAAAATATTATTTAATATTCCAAGAAGATGAATTTTAACATTAATGAGCTACCTTTTGGTCTCTTTTCCTCAGTGTATATTTGGTGCATATCTCAGTTTTATCTTCTTCCATAAATTGAACTCTAGCTCTGGTTTGTTATCTTCAGAAACCTCAAGATATTTCTCCATTTTTAATTTTTTTTTTTTGTCCGCCTCCAACTCATTGTGAGAATTGTTGCCACTTTCTTCATCAAATTCTGATTTATTGTGGGTTCCTCCTCATCAACACCTTTCAAATGCCTCATTGTTTGTTTGGTTTAGAGAAATCAAATAATTTCTTTGTCATTTAAGCATAGATTATGGAAAATGCATGTTTGGTCAAAATGAGCCTGGATTGAAATATCCACATGTCACATATTTACAACAAAGTTGCATAATATAGTCATCAGATGAATAAAATAAATACGAGCTGAATGAATAAAAACATATTTACTTCTTTTCTTAAATGTATCTCATTGATATGCTTTACTTGATTCCGATTTTTCATTTTATCTTTTTGATGTTTTTAGAAACAGAAGAGGATGAAGATATGATGGCTGAAATCAACTTGGTAGTGCGACTTCCCTATAACTACAGTTTCGTTGTAACTGTTTCAACATCCTCAGAAGAAATATGTGTTTGGGATATTTCGAGGTATTTTAGTAAATTAAATATTTAAAAAATACATTTTAGTAATTTTAAAAGGTTCCATGATTATATTGATGTGGTGGAGGTTTTTATTGCTTTGAGAGTTCATTAACAAAATTAATTTCTTCATTTATTTAAATTTTTTATTACCATTATCTCTTTTTCCATTGTAATTATTACAGGAAAAAAACTTTTAATATGAAAGTGTATGTATGTAAAATCATTTATATGTATATGTTAATATCATTGTTTCCTGTCCAAATAATCTTGTCTAATGGAAACTTCTCGTGAGTCCAGGTTGATCTTCTTCTTTTATCTCAGTATTCTCCTCATTTATATTTTTTTTCTTTACTTTCTTTTCAATATCTCTACAGCTATTTTGTGTATATTGATACATTTACTCATTACATCTTATTTTCATAATTTACACAATTTTAACTTTTTATTTCTCTTCCATGTTGTCAGTATGTTTTGATAGATTTTACAGTATCTTAATTTTTCTATTTAAATCTATTATTTTCTTTATACAACTTCTTATTCCTTTTCTCTTTGTTACATTTCATTCTTTGTCTATCTCACTTCTTTTCAACAATCTAAGACATCATATTTTAGCATCTACATCACCATAACTTTTCTATATCTAATACTTACATTTTGTCTCATTTTAGTTAATTTTTATTTTCATTTTTGTTACCTAATTTCATTATGTTTATTTCATTAGTCCCCATCATAGTTTAATTAAATAAGTAAACCAGTTTATTTCATTAGTTCCCAACTTTGTTGCCGTTATTATTTATTTCATAAATTCCTCTCTATTACTGTTGTTAGTTCCTCTCTAATATTGCTATTAGTTATTTCATAAGTTCCTCTCTTTTACTGTTATTAATTTTTTCCTTAATTATTAATTTTTTTTTTCATAAGTTAATAGTTTCTTATATTGTTATGTGCTCTTTTCTTAGCCCTAATGAAGGCCTGAAATTTGGGCTGAGATGTCGGCAAATATAAAAATAAATATCATTTATTGATTTTTAATTTGTTTATTTTTTACTGAACACGTCAACCAACTTCTCTTCAATTATTCACTACAGTCAACCATCATACCACTTATAATTTAATGTATAAATTATTTTTTTTTTTTTGGTTGTCACTACAAATGCCTTAGTTCTTTGGCTGCCTGAACAGGCATCCACCTCTGCCATATTTTTATTGATTCTATCGATAGATAGATCTATAGAACCGATAGAGAGTATAGGTAATTCTTCAAAGCAGTCAATCGGAAAAGAAAACTTTTTGAAAGAAAATCTACCTACTGCTTGAATGAAGGTGGTAAACTTCTAACCAATAGGATTGACCACGTGGGAGGTCAAAAACTAGGTGGATACACCACTACCTTCATTCAAGCAGTAGGTAGATTTTCTTTCAAAAGGTTTTCTTTTCCGATTGACTGCTTTGAAGAATTACCTATACTGCTTATTTTCCCTAAGGAGTTCAGTCTTTTGCTATTCTTCCTTTTCCCATTTTCTTTTCTTATACTGGTGGAGACGTTTCTCCATTCGCCTCTTCTGTCTATATAATTCGCCATTACTCCTGGTCTCGCGGTGAACCTTGGCTTTATGTGCTTCAAACCTGTTGCTCTCTTACACTCCTCGTCAAACCATGGAGATCTCGAATCCCTCTCTTGTGGTTCAAGCAGTTTAGTGGCTGTATCTGATATAGCATCTGAATATTCAGTCCATGCGGTGTTGATATCGGCCTCCAGAACATCAACCTGCCGAATACACCTATCCAGTTCCGATTGATATTGTGTGAGAATTATTGGATCCTTAAGCTTATTTAGGTTGTATCGCTTAGGCCTTGTGCTGGTATGCTTGCTTTCCTTAGCACTATCCGTGCTCGGAAATGAGTGATGCTTAAAAAGTGATGGGATTCCACATTTGCCCCTCTGAATACTCTCGTGTTTAGGAGAATGGACATGTGCCTCCTATCGATAAGGATATGATCGATTTGGTTCAGTGTTGACCCATCAGGTGTTTTCCATGTTCCCTTGTGGATTTTCTTATGAGGGAAAAGAGTACTGCCAATTGTAAGATCAAGAGAGGTATCAAAATTTATAATCCTTACTCCGTTGTCATTACTTGACTCATGCAGACTACATTTACCTATAGTTGGGTGAAATGTTGTTTCCTTGCCTACTTTTGCATTGAAGTCACCTGCGATGATTTTCATATCATATTGTGGGCAGTCATCCACAGTTCTCTCCAAGAGTTCATAAAAAGCTTCTTTTTCAGAAACACAATGTGTTTGTGTACTGTGTGATAGTGTAAATGTTCCCCCAACCTGGAGGGCCAGTGGTTGACTGCGGTACTAAGACCGGGCGATGGGGGTCACCACACCTGAATCTATGCATTTAATTCTCCTAATTCTTCTGTTAGTAATTTTAAGAAAGCATTAATAGAGAAATCATCCAGCAGGGATCTGAAACATTTTATTGGTCCTAAGAAGGTGAATCTTCTTTAGGATATTTAATTAAATTAAAGTCCCTCTGAGTTCACATTGTTTCCATAAACTATAAATTTGCAATATATTGTACTTTATTATAATAAATAATGTAAATGCAAGAGATATTCAATGTTAGTCTATTGCTGGTTACAGAGGAAAAAAGAAAAAAAAAATTTCTGTGGCATAAGTTTATGGAGCCTATTTAGATACATATGATGATGAATTATTCAGCCTATAAATTATTTTGAATACTTAATATTTAACCGTTGTATTATTAAGGAAGGAGATGGCCCGGGGTGGCGGTCATAAATAGACTAAATAGTGAGAAAATTATTTTATTAAAATCTATAGTTTCGAACCCGCCTTTGCAGGTCTTCTTCAGGGCTAGAGTGGACAAGATACAAAAAGATATAAAGCATTGTGGAAGTTACATAATATTTAGATAAAAAATTATAAACAATGTGAATAAACTTATTAAAATTATAAACAGTAAGTACATTAAAATATTAAGAACAATAAGTTGTATAAACAAGATACAAGGGAAAGTTCTATATCTATGAAATAATAAATATATATTATATTTATATATACATATAAATATAAAATAGAATTAAGAAATTATAGATAGGAGTACAATGTGAATAAAAACAAAGATGAAAGAAGTAAAGCGTACGTAGAAGTAAAATATAAATATAAAAATAAGAGACTTTACATTGCAGAACTAATTTAAAAGTATAGAGAGGAAACAAATATGAATAATTATAATTATATTTAGTTGTACATATGTAAGAAAATTAGATTTAAATATTAGATAATATTGAGACATAATGGTTAAAAAGTAAAATGAATACAAAGTAAAAACTGATGATCGTACATTGATGTAGAATGTAAATATAAAAGAGATTTCATATAAAGCTGAAATACTTAAAAAAAATGAACGGTTAAATTGAATCAATCAATAAAAATTGAAAGTAGATAAAAAATATTAAGATGTAATAAATAAGTTATTTTTCACTTATAAGATTTAAAATGTGCCTATATGTTAAAGAAATAAAGTTTTTATCAACTTCATGATTAACAGGATTCTGTTCCATGTGAATGTGGATGGATTCAGAAATGAGTCTTTTTTCATGGTTAGGGACTGTGGCAAGAATAGAGGTTTTTTCAAAATCAAATGAGTGGTTGAGGGTTAAGGCATGTTCATAAACTACATTAGATCGGTGTTGTAAAAGTATGGGATCCTTAAAGTTAGTGAAAAGGAAAGAAAGTTTGTTATGGGACTTGAGGACAAGACGTAAGTTGGTTATAGTCGATTTAAGGAATTTTTGTATATTATCTGAGAGAATGTTAGGGAGTGGGGTAGCTCAGTGGTAGGGTACTGAGCTTACAGTGCTAAAGGTCCCAGGTTCGAATCCCAGCTCATGGTAGAATAATTATTTATTCTGTTTCATTGGCCGTGTGGCAACCCTGGGTAGGCAGACCCTCCTGGGGCACACCCAGCCTCTATAAAGTGGGCACCCTTAATTAAAATAATTGATTAAGGGGAAAAACGTGGCGGTTGACCGTGATATCGGTCAAATCACCTCCTTGCACAACTGTTGACCAAGAAACAGTGCTTTCCCTAAATAGTACTGACCCTTCATGGGTTGTAGTGGTACCGGTTTTTTTTTTTTTTTTTTTTTTTTTTTTTTTTTTTTTTTTTTTTTTTTTTTTTTTTTTTTTTTTTTTTTTTGACAGAGAGAGAGAGAGAGAGAGAGAGAGAGAGAGAGAGAGAGAGAGAGAGAGAGAGAGAGAAAGAGAGAGAGAGAGAGAATTGGAATATAGGAGAGAGATTTTTATATGAAAGGAGTGGTAGGTGGTTGTGGGGAGTTGAGAGAAGGGGAGGTTGTACTCTGGTTACTTGTTTGGTTATATAGATGTTTAAAAGTTTAAGCATATTGTGGAGGGCCTTGTCTATTGGGATGTTTGTAAATAAGCTATCAGTATCTAGGGAAACAAGGATAAAGTTGTCAGGAATATGGAGAGAAGACAACTCTTCTTTGAGGGGAAATGAATAATTTTATATTTACATTCTACATCAATGTACAATCATCCATTTTTACTTTATATTCAGTTTACTTTTTAACCATTATGTCTCAATATTATCTAATATTTAAATGTAATTTTCATATGTACAACTAAGTATAATTATAATTATTCATATTTGTTTCCTCTTTGTACTTCTAAATTAGTTTTGCAATGTATGGTCTCTTATTTTTATATTTACATTTTCTTTTATGTACGTTTCACTTTACTTTTATTTTATTTATTTTTTTCATTTTTGTTTTTACTCACATTGTAATTCTATCTATAATTTCTTAATTCTATTTTATACACACACACACACACACACACACACACACACACACACACATATATATATATATATATATATATATATATATATATATATATATACACACATATACACACATATATAGTATTTTCCCTTGTATCCATCCATATCTTCAAATTTTAGATATTGTAATATTCCAGGTTTTGTTTTACTTTTACTACTTATCCCCTCGCCATTTCACAACCAGGTAAGCAAATTTCCCCAAAGGTTACTTACTCAGGTTTTCCAGTTCTAAGTGAAATCCTTGCTGAACACACCTATAAGCCTCTATTTTTATTCTTCTAATTTTATTTATTTATTTGTTGGTTTTCTTTTTTCTTTTCTTTCTGCACATCCCTTCATGTCCATTATTTCATATTATATCCTTTTTCCTTTTCTTCCAATCTCTCCTGTAGATCTGTAGGAGTATATTCACAATTGCATATATTACATTATATATTATATTACAACAATTGTTATCATCTATTTACTTCAGTTTAGGATCTTGTTACTTAGCTTACTCTGTTTATACAACTTATTGTTCTTAATATTTTAATGTACTTACTGTTTATAATTTTAATAAGTTTATTCACATTGTTTATAATTTTTTGTCTAAATATTATGTAACTTCCACAATTCTCTGTATCTATTTGTATGTTGTCTGTTCTAGGCCTGAAGAGAACCTGCAAAGTCGGGTCGAAACGTTTGCTTTTAATAAAATAGTTTGGCCACTATTTAGTCTATTTATGACCGCCATGACCATCTCCTTCCTTTATCAATTATTTTGTTTGAATTGACTGGTTCTCTTGATAAACCATTTATAAAAAATATATGTTATATTATACTATTACTACTCTCATTAACATATCTTTTTTTAAGTATAACATGACAAATAATTATCTTCCAGGATTTTTTCAACTAGAACCTTGTTCATAATTTTTAGGTCTTAAAAATTCACAGTTGATTATGTTAATTTAATTTACTGGGCATTTTTGTTTTAGAAAGTATGATGTCTTCTTATTTATTTATTCGTTCTGTATCCCTGTTTTCTTTGTCAGTATGGGACAGTCTTGTAAAAAATAAACAAACTGGAGCAGGAATGACTGGCCATCGAGAATGTCAGGCATGAAAACATTCTTCTGCCACTATATATTAATTTTTACAGCTTTAAATAGGAATGGCAATTGCTTCAAATAGAAGAAGAAGAAAAAGTCTTTCTATTTATCAAAATTACATAATATAAATTACAAAATAATATTTTTGGATTTAAAACCGAAAATCAAACGTGCTACATGGTCTGTTGACCGTCAGAGGAGTGTTTCATAACAAAATTATATTTCAATCTATTTATATACAACTAATTAATAAGAAAATAAGAACAATTATATTTACAATGTAAAACTTATATAAATATTTTAATTACAAAAAGAGTGGTACCAAAATTCTTCAATTTATTAATTGTTAAATTCCCTGGTGAGCATTATTCTATAGGAGAAACCGGACTTGCAGTAATTTACCAATGTTATCCAATTGTTTCCATTTGATAAATCTATTTCTTGATCCTGAGATAAATTTCTAGATTTTAACCATTTAATTATAAATTCAGAGAGTATCGGACAAGCAGCCAGAAAGTGATAGAGATCTTCTGTTTTGTTTGTATTACACATCCTACAATTATTATTTGTTTGCTGGAATTGTTTATAATTTAAGTTCAAAACATCAGCTCTAATTTTAATTACCCATCTGATCACCTTCAATGAACTTTTGTCATCAATATAATTTACTGAAGTTAAATGAGGATAAAAAATGAAAGTTTTAGAATTCTGAACTTTAATTACATATTGATTATATATGTCTTTCTGCATTTGAGTTCTTAGTAAATATAAATTAGCTCTCCATAGTTTAACATTGATTATATATGTCTTTCTGAATTTGAGTTCTTAGTAAATATAAATTAGCTCTCCATAGTTTAACATCATCACAGTTAGGTTGATTTAAGTTGAAATTTAATCCATGCAGTTCTATCAGATTAAGTAAGTCTCTAAACCATGCAATTTCGTTTTTAATTATCTGTAGGGCTAATATTTTTGGATATGTATGGTGGAAGATTCAAAATTTTTATAATGTAATCAAAATGGAGTTTAATTGTGAAGATAAATAACGGATCTATTTTAGTCTCAAAGTAAATAAAATGTGTTGGAGCATACTTTGGTAATTTAAATAATTTTTTAAGAAAGAATCTTAGTAGTCTTTTCACAGCTTCATAACTTACCCCACTCCAGATTTGTGCTCCATAGCATATAAGTGCCCTACTAACGGAATTAAATACTTGCAACTTTTTGTATAGGACTATGTCTTTATTTTCCATAAACTGGCATCAAATCAGATTCAAACCCACCTTGGCTTTCTCCAGTTTTTCTGCCAGGTGTTTGGACATTGAGAGAGTAGGGGTGAGAGCTATTCCTAAGTATTTATACTGTTGAACTACGTCTATACTTTTGGAGCCCATGAACCATTTTTCTTTACGTGATGGCTTACCGCAATTTTCCTCTACACAAATACCATCATCTAAATTTTCTTCCAAATCATTTTTGAGGTTTGGATGGTTTGACAAAACCATTTAGTATGGAATCGGGTGTAAGACAAGGTTGTTTGCTTAGTCCGATTCTATTTTCGTTATATATAATTGCTTCAAATATATTTTTCATTTATTTCTTGGTCTTAGTATAGAAAAGTTAGAAGCAGGAATTTTCTATGGGCCACAAATCCATATTCTTAAAAACCACAGGCGGATCTATGGGAAGCTTTCGGGCTGAACCCCTTCACCCTCCCCCCCCTCCAAAATTGGTAAAACATAACCATGTTTTATGAAAAGAATTATTCTAAAATTATTATTGTTCATCTAATAACATTTAATAGGACTTAGAGAATCACTTAAACAACGTTTCATATAGGTAGTTAGTTTCTTTCTTTCTTCTGAAGTAATTTTCCTAATATATACCTACAAAAAAAAATCTTTCACGCTAAAGCCCTCCCCCAAAAATTAAATCCTGGATCTATTAGTGTTATAAACAACAAGATGATTTCACTAACAACATGACTCAAGTTGAATTGGAAGCATGTTTAGCTTTGTATTAGTTGTTAAAAATGTTTTGGGTATTCACAAATGTGAAGAATATTCCAAAACTGTAGACAAAATGATCTAGAATTTCTAAAAACTTGGAGATAATATGAGCTTTAAATTGCACATTCATTTTGATAAATTTCCTGACAACCTGGGTAATTATAGCGAAGAACAAGGGGAATGGTTCCACCAGGACATCAAAATTATGGAGGAAAGATATCAAGGCCATTGGAATCACCATATGATGGCAGACTACTGCTGCAAACTGCAGAAAGACTGTCCGGACCAAAAACACCAAAGAAGATCCTATTCATAATGTTTTTCTTAACTCTTATTGATAAGTTTTTGTTTCTTATGACTAATTTTATTATTCTCTGTATCATTTATAACACTTTGTTTGTTTGAAATCATTTGATAATTTAAAAATAAATGTTTTAAAAAATATTCCCTTCTTTTTTATGATTTAATTTCCAGTATAAATGGATTGCAATTATCTAAAAAAATAGAGTCTATTCAACAAAAATATTATTATTTTCTTATTCAGCAGACCAAAATTATCTTATCTAAAATTGACTAATAAATTCCATGTCACAGAATCAGTGTTCTCCTGTGTTATCATAGTATTAAAACAATTGGTTTAATTTGTACCTTTTGTTCAAATTTGAATTAATTAATTTTTTATCCCTTTTCGGACTCATTTTTCGGTCATCCTCCTTTTTAAAAACGGTACTTGTTTAATAGCAGGTAGCGTCCGACTGCTATCTGCCAATGTTTATAACCTTAATACTGATAACTCTGATAAACCACTGGTAATATCTTCGTATTCATATTTATTGTATTTTATTTATATTATTGAAATTGAAAACAAATCTAATAATAAAAAAATACTTTTATTTTACAAGATATATATTAAATAAACCAAAACATTATAGATATATAATTAAAAAACATTATGAAAATATTGCAACATATACATAAAAATAAATGAAATAATAAAAATAGACAAAAATAAATGAAATAATAAGAAAACCACTTAAACAGCATATGTACATATAAAAGAAACACTATGAAGACTATAAAGAACATATGTACATATAAAAGAAACGATGTAAACACTATAAACAAAATATGAACAATTTTATTTTAACTTAATTTATTTTGGTAGGGAATATCCAATGCAAATATCCCGGCATCTTGAAAATATTTGATAGCCTCTTCTTCTGAAGACGGCAATTACCACAATGTGACAACATCCATAATTAAATAAGACTAACTCACAGCTTACATAAGGAACAAAAAATAAACAAGGGAATAGCTTAGGTTAGAGGAGATAAAGGAGGTTATGTGAATTAAGATTAGATAACAAGGAAGGTTTTGACGCTACCCGCTATTAAACAAGTAAAAACTTTTCAAGCATTAAATTTTTAATATCATCATTATTAAAACTAACCTATCCTTAAAAATTATAAAGTGGTGTATGATTTGTTCTGTTTAAGGTGTAAGCGGGTACGAAGATTGAAAGAGGTGCCTCAACCATCAGCCCTTCAAATGGTTGATGACTTTAAGTGTGTTGTTCTTTGCAAAAGAGAATTGCGCACTTACGATCTCAATACTGGATCTCTTCTCACTATTCTAAAAGGTATAATTCATTGAGAATTGAAATAGCGTATATTTAACTATTGAATTATGAAATACATTAGTTAAGTTACTTCTCATTGGCAGCCATCCTTTGCACATGTCCTGCCCATCGAAGTCGTCCGAGCTTCACAAACTTGACTATTTCAACATCGTTGTAGAGTCTTGTTAGTTCGGCATTCCTCTTTCTCCATATGTTGTCCTGTTTAACAGAGTCGAAAATCCGTCTAAGAATCCTCCTCTCGAAGACAAGAAGCCTGAATTCATCCACCTTTGTGAACACCCAAGCCTCTGAACCATAAATGATGACTAGGTGGACCAGGGTCTTATAGGGCTTGATCTTGGTCCGGTTAGAAAGCATTCTGCTTCTAAAATGTTTGATAAGGCCAAAGTAGCAACGGTTAGCTGCTGCAATCCTTTTGTTTGCTTCCTGGGGAGAGATTATGTCATTTTGGGAGTTGATTTCCGAACCCAAACAGGTGAAGCTGCTTACCTTCTGAAAACGATACTCTCCTGCGTCAAAATATTGAACTCCTGGTTTGACTCCTCCAATCCTCATATATTTCATCTTGGCCTCATTAACAACTAGGCCAATATCCCTAGAAGCATTTTCCAGAGCCAAGAATGATTCTCATAGGGTCCATTCCGATCTGGCAGCAATATCAAAATCATCCATGTATCCCAGAAGCTGGATTGTGCTGTTAAACGGTGTTGATTGTAGTTGGATTCCAGAATTCCTTAACGCTTTCTCCCTTGCAAAATTAAAAAGGAGGCAAGCCAAAGCTTTTTATATCACTTATCTATAATTTTTTAATAATGTTTTCACACATAATATTGAGGATTCACTAATATAAAATATTTACTAAAATAAGTTATTTTTTCGATGAGTTTTGTGATATATGTTTCCGATAAAACTCCAAAAAATCCATTTCCCCCACAATTATTAATATTGTTTCGTACTATACACAGTCATGAAAGGGTATAGAAAGTGATGCAAAATTATTAATTTAATAGATTTGATGGGAGGGAAAAACATGGTAATTGTTTTAAATAAAGTTATACTGTTGTTTTCACTTTGACTTCTCTCGCTATATATGAAAATACCTATCTACTCTAAGATTGAAAGTTGAAAGTGAGTGAAAGTTGTGTGATTTTTTTCATGTATTTATTGAATACAAAATTAAACTTATCAAAAATATCTTCTTAACGCCTTTTTTTTGCGTCCATATAGATTATTCTACCGAAAATCTCTGTTTACGTGATCCATGATAAAATTATAAGCTTGTTTTAACTTTTGATTAACTATGGTTTGTTTTGAGCAATGAAATGTAATAATTCATTAATAACTTTTTTCTTTAAATATTTTAAAATTTAATGTTTGATTCCATTTTTTCTAAAGAAATAATATTTGAGTGCTAATTACTAAGTATTTGTCTTTCAAATAAATAAATATTTGATTAAATATCTCTTTATTTGATTCCACCTGCACTTATCTCAACTTATGCAATATGCCATCGCTTAAACTTTCTTTAAATTTCTCTCATAATCTATCTATTTTGATTCAATGGACTACATATCTATATTAACATAAATACAGTAAAACCTCTCAAAAGCAGACCTCTACAGGGGATCAAATTTTGTCCCCTATTGAGAGATTTCCATTATCAAGAAAATTGAAGAAAAAAATTATAGGAACATAAAAATTAGCAGATTAAAATTGTGTTTTGTTACTCATAGATAGATAGATAGATAGATAGATAGAAAGTAATCTTTATTCTGGGACGAGGTCCCTTATGAATAACAGTTATGAACAAAAAAATAAAAACCACATCTGGCCATAAATTACATTAATCAATATTAAAGAAAATACACAGTATCTCAGTAAAAGTATATTAAAAGAAGTAATAATAACACCATTTTGAAAAAACACAAAAACATTATTTAAATGGAAAAACAAAACAAAATAATATAAGCATGGGCTGATTTTTAAAATTAAAACTCAATCAATTTTAATAACCATTCACCTCAGTCAAAATCTGTTTCGCAATATTTCTTTCATTGTATAACATCATTTTGGGATGTAAGAAGGAATTGGTAGAGATGATATTTAAATGAGGACAAGGAAGAGGCATGGCGGATATCAGATGGCAAGGAATTCCAGAAGGCAGTGGATCAGGCAATAAAGGAATATTCAAATGTCTTAGTTCTATGGGAAGGGATATAAAGGTCGGAAACACGGAATCTTGTTTTCTGGAAGTGGACAACGGGTTTGAACTATAGGAGACTGTAGATGTAGGAATGGTTTCGGATGTTGATCGTTTGGAATAGGAAAGATCCAAGGAAATATTGTCTGCGTCAAGAAGGGAAGAGCCACTTTAACTCATCATAAAGGTGGGACACATGAGACCGCCTCGATGTACCGAAAACAAATCTTAAGCAGGTTTTCATGAGTCGCTTCAATCTATCCTCAAGTACCGTTGGGATGCCTCCGTACACCACACAGCCTTATTCAAAGTGAGGGAAAATAAGAGAGGATATAAGGAGCTTGCGGATGGATTGTGGGAGTAGGTGGCGGGAGCGATGAAATAGCTTAAGGGTACCTATTGACTTACGTGAGATGAGGGTGATATGGGGTGTCCAGGAGAGGTTTTCGTCTATGATGATTCCTAAGTTTTTAACAGAGGAGCTGAATGTGACAGGATGGTCATTGATGACTAAAGGAGGAAGGAAAGAGATGGATTTAAGAATAGGACTGGAACCAATAATAATGGCCTGAGTTTTCATCACGTTTAGCTTTAAATTATTCAGACTTGCCCAGGCACTGATCCTATCTAGGTCTGCCTGAATATTGGCGAACGCGACTAGTAGCTCAGAAGGATGAAAGGAAAAATAGATTTGGGAGTCATCAGCGTATAAATGATGTGAACAGTAGTAGATGGATTTAGAAAGATCATTTATGTAGGAATTAAAAAGGAGAGGGGAGATGCTCGAACCTGGGCCACTCCAGAGGCAGTGTGAGGAAGGAAGATAGGGGTTGGTTTGGAATGCTGACTGCTTGAGTTCTGTCGGATAGGAAAGACTGCAACCAGAGGATAGCGCTGTTGGAGAAGGATAGAGATTTTAATTTAGTGTAGAGTATAGAGTGGTCTAAGGAGTCAAAAGCTTTGGAAAAGTCGAGAAGTATTAACACAGTTAACATTTTTTCGTCCATTGCGGTGTGTAAGTCATTGGTAATTTTTAGTAATGCGGATTGTGTGGAGAAGCCAGGTCGAAAACCAGATTGGAGAGGATCGAGTAGTTTTGAGTTTTCGAGGAATTTAGAGATTTGGGATTGAGCTATTCTTTCCAGAGGTTTAGAAAGGTTAGAAAGAATGGAGATTGGGCGGTAGTCTTTAGGAGAAGTAGGATTGGGGATTTTGTTAATAGGTTTGACTAATGCTTTTTTACAAGCAGTAGGAAAAACTGAGTTTTGGAGGGAAAAATTATAGATGAAAAGGAGAACTGGAAGGACTTCGGGAAGGCGTAATTTTAACAGTTTGACAGGTATTCCATCAAGTCCGATGGAGTTTGTGTGGGATTTCATTATAGAGGAAAGAAGGTCAGTTGGTGAAATATTGGAGAAATAGAAATTATCACTGTTAAATGAGGGTGATAAGGAAAACTGGTAAGAGGAGGGTGAGCTGTTGCTGGTGTTGGAAAATATAAAATAGAAATTTAATTTATCAGGTAAAACCGGGTAGATCTGTGAGGGAGAGGATTTACAAAGAGAGAGTTTACAAAGTGTTAGCTATATTGATTTAGAATCAGGAGCAGAGGAGAAGGTTTCGTGAAAGAAGTTTGATTTCGCTTACCTGATCGTTGTTTGTGTCAAGTTATGGAGTACCCTATAGACTTGATAGTCATCTGCTTGTTGAGTTCGTCTGAAGCGTCTACGGACTGCCTCCTGTCTCTTTTGCATGTCACGGATTTCTTGACACATCCAAGGAGCAGGTTGGGGGCGAAAGGTTGAGGTTTTGATAGGACCATGTATGTCAAGAATATGGGTAAGATTAGAGGTGAGGATGTCTACCATATGATCAATAGAGGAGCAGGAATAAATATCGTTCCAGTTTAGGATTTCAAGGTCAGGTAGGATTTTTTCACGGGTGAGGGTGTCAAGATTGTGGAAAGTTATGTTTTAGGAAGAAACTTGAGAGTTTGGATATCGTACGATAGTTGGATGAGATCATGAGAAGAAAGGAAATGAACGGGTAATTGAGAACAGGACAAGAGTTTCTGCTCTGAATCGATGATATGCAGGTCCAGCCAAGTATCAGACCAACAAGTATGGTGTGTAGGAGCGAAAGGAACAATAAAAGATTGAGGGAGAAGAAGAGGTTTTCCAAGTAGCATTTGTTGTTGGATTCTGTGAGGAGGTTGGTATTAAGATCACTGGAAATTATAATGTTATTATAGTAAGGAACATAATTGTACAAGGTTGATTCGAAGGATGGGTCAAAAGGAGTCAAAGGAGGGCGATATACGACCACATAAAGGAGAGGATGTGCTTTACAAGATATTTCAGCGAAGAGGAATTCGATGTGTGGATGATTGGAAGGGGATGAAACATCTAGAATACGGGGTTTCAGGCTATTGTGAACATAGAGACCAACACCTCCGCCTCTCCGGGGAACCCGGTCATGACGGATGAGGGTATAATCAGGTAAAGAAACGGAGGAGGAATGGATATAGGGCTTAAGCCATATTTCAGAAACTGCAATAATGTGGTAGAAATTATGGGTGAAATATTGGAGAAACTCGTCATAGTGAGTAGGAAGGGATTGTGAATTAACATGGCAAGTAGTTAAGATGTTAGACATAACGGAAAGGAGAAAAGTATATATATGAAGGATGACGCTGTAAGTAAGAGAAAACTGTGAAAATAAATTTGGAAAGAAGTAAATAATGGCTGTAAAAGAAGAGAAAAGAATACAAACAAAATAGAGTTAGGTTCAAAAATATGCA